AGAGAGAGAGAGAGAGAGAGAAAGAAAGAAAGAGAGAGAGAGAGAAAGGAGAAAGAGAGAAAGAGAGAAAGAAAGGAAATAAATGAGTGATTCGGAACCACTGCTTTCACTGTCCTAATTTCCCACTCTTCTGAGGGGGCTCTTGGAGGTTAATCAAGGGGAATACTGTCAGTGGGTTGGATAGTTGTGGAAACTAATGAGTTAGTACTACTTGGAGCCTTTATTGAAAAGGAAATCGAACTGGCACAATTGACATGGGTCAGAGCACTTGAATGCAAGGCAAGGGCGACAAATGATAATGAGGTTGCAGTGAGGGGAGTATTCTACCCTGTTACCAATAGGCGTGGTGACCCTGGTTTCTCTGAGGGAGAGGGATCTGGCTTTGGCATTGCCCGTGTCAGGCACCCAGGGCATTCCCCTGCTGACTCTCTCCTGAGGGGCAGAACTTGCTAAATATCTCACAAGCCCAAATTCCGGGTCCCTGGTTGTTGCAAGAGGTCAGCCAACATTCTGACCCGACTCAGGTTCCTGGTTATGGTGCTTTGAATTGGGTGGCTCAGAAATCCCCAGAGATTTCACTGTCTGATTTCTGGAAGTTCATTTAAAGTGAAACTCAGCAACAGGATCCCCAAAGAAAATAGAAAAATTAGCACGTTCTAGGAGTAGCTTCTTGGTTGCGGGGGTGTGTGTGTACAGGTAGCCAGCCCCATTGAGAGCCATACCCCTGGGCGGGGGGAAGGACACAGGCCATCATTTCACAGAGAGCAGCACAGCTTCTGCCTTCCCTCTGAGGGGGGCCTGCCTGAGAGAGAGGTGGCTTCTTTTATTGTTGCTTTGAAACGCTTATTGTTGTCTTTTGTTTTGCTGTCACCATGGAAACTAATAAATAGAGAAGCGTGATTTCTTCATCGTCTCCATCTTCAGATGCACTTCTCTGCCAGGGTACCTGAGAGCGTACAGCTGTTGGGGATCAGGAGGAGGGGGAGAGTGAAGGCGGGGTATGGGAAGCACTGGTCAGTTCCAGTCTGGCTTTATGTCTGGGAAACAATGTACTCTCATGCCAGTTCCTGGCATCTGGTGTGCTTTTGTTTGCAAAAGGGCACAGTGTGTGCATTATACCGTGTGTGTGTGTGTTTTTTTAGAACACTGAATTACCAGTAAACCCAGTGTTTTGGCTCTCTTTCACGGAACTTTCTTTAGGGGGCTGTTTTCGTTAACTTGGGCCTGGTGTCACACCGACGCACTCCAGTGGAATCCCATTAAATGTCCCTAATGCGTTTGCTCCAGCTGTGGACATGTGTTTTGGTTTACATTGTGCTTGGATGGCCCATGGGTATGCTTCATTCCTATGGAAGACATAATTTGCAACAGAAGACTTGGAATAGCAGCATCCTGCCTACAAAAATCATTGGAACAAGAAGAAAAGACTCCCTGATTAATTCCCAAATGTCAGACTGCTCTTCAGAGAGATACCATTTTAAGTGGTGAACTCAGTGTGATTCTCAACCCTGGATCCATAACAACCTCTCCTGCATGGAACATTAACTCCTCATACCCTCATCCTACCCATCCCCATCTCTCCCAGTCCCAGAGATTCCCAGCATATCTTAGGAGGTAGCCTTGGGATCAATGATAGATGATAGATGATAGATAGATAGATAGATAGATATTTTTTACACAGAGATGAATTCAAAGATCAGCCATAGCTGAGAACCACTGAGTCCATGTGATCTTTTAAAGGCAATTTGCTATAACGACAAATCATAGGTACACCTAAGGATAGGGAGAGAAAGAGCTATGCATGGACATAAAGACAGCCAAAGAATGCACATGGTCACTAGGGGGCTTCATGGTTACAGCCAACTACTCCCTTACCTCATGGGCTAATTTGGCTTTCTGTAAAGGTAAGTGTTACAAAACTCTGTAAAAATGTCATGGTTTAGAATCAGAGGCATTGGAAGGTTGCAGAAGGGGCATGCATGAGTGAGCCCACAAATGAAGAGCCGTTCATGATCTGCACCGTGTGTGGCTGGTTCCTGGTAGATATTCTTCGGTTGGATGGGGCTCAAGCTTTTGAGGGTTGTTTGGCACATCCAATAGGTACACAAGCTGGTGATAACCACCTACTATGTGCCAGCTACCCATCTAACACTTTACTTACATCACCTCTACAAGGTAGGCATTATTATTCCAGTCTATAAACGAGACGGTAAAGACCCTTGCCACATTCACTCAGCTGGGAAGGGTTGGAACTCAGATCTGTGGTGGTCTCAAAGTCAGACTGTGGCCACTGCATCACCCAGTCTCATCACCTACCCTATGGAGGGAGCCACACTGGAAAACTGAAGACCATGGAGCTGAAAGCTATGCAACCACTTCAGAGAAATATGTCAGAGAGTTATATGCAAGGGTATGTTCATAAGACATGTCCTAGCCAAGCGCCAAATCTTCTTGTAAATGTGGCAGTGAAGACTGAAGAGTGTGATGACAACCATATTAAGCATGCATAGTGGAGTGTTAACCTTCATTCAATCTGGGTGGTTTTATTTATCTCTGTTTTTCTGTATGTTTGAAATATTTCATTGCTAATCATTCTTGGGCAAAGGAACATGGGAGAAAGTGGATAAGCTCTTCTGCATTATGAATTATTCAGGTGATTTCCCATAAATTGAAGGGCAGATAATTGCTGATATGACCTCAACAAAGATAAGGTGGAGAAAGGAATGTTTGCTAATTAACTACAAAGGAAAAAGAAGTGTGAGAGATGATTAAATCCGCTGCTACTGTGCTCTGTGCTCCTCCAAAGCATCACCCCAGGACTGTCTGTCTCTTCCAGCTTAACGACTGAAAGTACACAGCCAGCAGTACACTCAAGGAGAAGAGATCTTTCTAGTTTTGTGTAGGTTGCCTGTTGTAAGTATATATTTTTTTCATAGATTATACTAGAGGCCCAGTGCACTAAATTCGTGCACAGAGGTGGGGTCCCTCAGCCCGGCCTGCACCCTCTCCAATCCGGGACCCCTCAGGGGATGTCCAACTGCCTCTCGCAATCCGGGACCGCTGGCTCCTAACTACTTGCCTGCCTGTCTGCCTGATTGCCCCTAACCCCTCTGCCTGCCTGCCTGATCCCCCTAACCACCTCTACCTTCCTGTCTGATCACCCCTAAATGATCATCTACTGGCCTGATTGCCCCTAACTGCTCCCCTGCTGGCCTGATTGCCCCTAACTGCCTCTGCCTTGCCCCACACCCGGGACCCAGGATTCCCTCATACAGCCGGTTGCAGGCACTCAGGACCCAGGCTGGCTTTGCCCAGGCCAGCCACAGCCACAGGGGACTGTGGGCGGGTGGCTTCGCCCGGGCTGCAGCCGCAGTCACCCAGGACCACGGGGAGGGTGGCTTGTCCCTCTCCCGGGCCAGGCTGCAGGCACAGCTGCTGTCACCTGGGATCACAGGGCATGTGGCTTGTCCCTCTCCTGGGGCGCAGGCACAGCTGCTGGCAACCGGGTCCACAGGGCGGGCGACTTGTCCCTCTCCTGGACTTCGGCCTGGCTGGTTCCCATTCCTTTCTGGAGAGCTCATTTGTGCCTGGCTGGTCCCCATTCCTCTCTCCCCAGTTTAAGTATCTGAGCAGTTACGGCATGAGGGTGTGATGACATGAGGGCATGACAACCATTTGCATATTGCTCTTTATTATATAGGATGAGTGCTCATGAGCTGGGATTGCTGTGCATTAAACACTCAAAATTATGAGACCAACCATCCACAGTGGTCACTTGGTTTTGGAGTGAACCTCAAAGGCAGTCGGGACCCAGGATTCCCTCCTACAGCCGGTTGCAGCCACTCAGGACCCGGGCTGGCTTTGCCCAGGCCAGCCACAGCCGCAGGGGACTGTGGGCGGGCGGCTTCGCCCGAGCTGCAGCCGCAGGCACCCAGGACCATGGGGAAGGCGGCTTGTCCCTCTCCCAGGCCGGGCTGTAGGCACAGCTGCTGTCACCCAGGATCACAGGGCATGTGGCTTGTCCCTCTCCTGGGGCAAGGCACAGCTGCTGGCAACAGGGCCCGCAGGGCGGGGGACTTGTCCCTCTTCTGGACTGCAGCCTGGCTGGTTCCCATTCCTTTCTGGAGAGCTCATTTGTGCCTGGCTGGTCCCCATTCCTCTCTCCCTAGTTTGAGTGTCTGAGCAGTTACGGTGTGAGGGTGTGATGACATGAGGGCATGACAACCATTTGCATATTGCTCTTTATTATATAGGCTGAGTGCTCGTGAGCTGGGATTGCTGTACATTAAACATTCAAAATTATGAGACCAACCATCCCCAGTGGTCACTTGGTTTTGGAGTGAACCTCAAAGGCAGTCCTTGGTAGGAAGAGATTCTCCCAGATTCCAGCAGTATACAGCCGGTTGCAGGCACTCAGGACCCAGGCTGGCTTTGCCCAGGCCAGCCACAGCCACAGGGGACTGTGGGCGGGTGGCTTCGCCCGGGCTGCAGCCGCAGTCACCCAGGACCACGGGGAGGGTGGCTTGTCCCTCTCCCGGGCCAGGCTGCAGGCACAGCTGCTGTCACCTGGGATCACAGGGCATGTGGCTTGTCCCTCTCCTGGGGCGCAGGCACAGCTGCTGGCAACCGGGTCCACAGGGCGGGCGACTTGTCCCTCTCCTGGACTTCGGCCTGGCTGGTTCCCATTCCTTTCTGGAGAGCTCATTTGTGCCTGGCTGGTCCCCATTCCTCTCTCCCCAGTTTAAGTATCTGAGCAGTTACGGCATGAGGGTGTGATGACATGAGGGCATGACAACCATTTGCATATTGCTCTTTATTATATAGGATGAGTGCTCATGAGCTGGGATTGCTGTGCATTAAACACTCAAAATTATGAGACCAACCATCCACAGTGGTCACTTGGTTTT